ATTTCACTTAGATAAAAGTAATCAGTGACGCAGAAACTTGAAGAGTGCACATGCGAGCTGCCTCGGTGTTTTTGCCTTGGTGCTTCCGTCCAAGCAAGATGGGTCACCAGCAGCTCTACTGGAGTCAGCCGGGAAAACTCCGCCAGGGTTCCCGCTCCTGCCGCCTGTGCTCAAACCAGCTCGCACTGATTCAGAAATACGAACTGACTATGTGCCGCCGGTGTTTCCGGCAGTACGCCAAGGATATTGGCTTCATCAAGTTGGACTAAAAGAGGGTCACACAATTTGATGGGTGAGGGGAGGAGTGGGTTAAGGAGATGGGAAAGATCTAGTGTGGAAAAAAAAAATATACGAACTTTATAAGTAAACCAGTATATTTTTTTAATAAAACCAAACAACAAACCCCTATCAATACTAGGGAAATGACAATATAAAATAGCATTCAAATCATTTATTCACAGGCTCACTATGAGTCATACTTGACTCAACAGCATCTAACAACAATAACGAGTCAGAGCCAACTCAACGTATCTAAACAACAATTATTTGAATCACATGTTCCCAGTTAAAGGATGCACCTAAGAGTTTTAAACATCTAATAAAAACCAAAGAAAAGTATTAACAATGCAGACGAAGCTTACTAATTGCTGGTTATGGCATGTGCTGGTAAAACTTTCACAAACAAGAAAAAGTGCCTATTCTTAAAAACCTCACTATCTTCTTGTTGCTGTTGTTGTTATGTGCCATTGAATCACTTGTGTCTCATAGCGACCCTGTGTACAACAGCCCTAAACCCTGCTCTATCCCTTGCCAATCTTATTGTCTCAACATACCTATCCCCATTACTCCAGGGATGGAATCAATCCATATCACCAAAGGTCTTCCTATCCTATGCTGTCCTTCGACCCTCTCAAGCATGACATCCCTCTCCACTCTCAAGCATGACATCCCTCTCCAAGCACTGATCCTGCCTTGCAAAATGTCCAAAGTATGTCAGATGGAGGTTCAGAATCCTTGCCTCCAAGGAGCAGCCTGGCTCCACCCTCTCCAGGATGAACTTGTTTGTTCTCCTAGCAGTCCATGAAATATTCAATACTGTTCTCCAGCACCACAGCTCAAAGACATCAACTCTCATATCATCCCAAGTCATTGTCCAGCTTTCTGATGCAAACCAAGTAATTGCAAAGACCATGGTCTATATGAGATGCACCGTAGTCTCCAGACTTAAATCATTGCTCCTCAGTACCTTGGAGAGGTCTCTGACAGTAGACTTTCCAAATGCAATTCATTTTTAAATTTCTTGGCTGCTGGACCCAAGAGTGTTGACTGTAGAGCCAAGTAAACCCAAACTGTCAACAGTCTCAAGCTCTTCATCATCCATCATGACGTTGCCAATCAGCCCAGTGGTGAGAATCTTTGTTTTCTTTTTTTTTTCTATAATTATATTTTATTAATTTTCATAAACATTTAGAATCTTTGTTTTCTTGATGTTTAGCTTCAGTCAATGTTGAAGGCTGCAGTCTTTGACCTTCTGTAGCAAGCACTTCAGGTCCTTCTCAGTTTCAGCAAGAAGGGTTATGTCATCTGCATAACAGATTGTTGAGTCTATTTCCAATCCTGATGTCACACTTCTCCTCATAGTGCCCAGCCTCCCAGATAATCTATTCTGCATAAAGACTGAAAAGATATGGAGATAGGACACATCCTTGATGCACACCCTTCCCAATTTTGAACCATGCAGTGTTCCCTTGCTCTGTTTTGACAACTGCCTCCTGATCCAGGTCCATAAGCACAATTAAGTATTCTGGAATTCCCATCCTTCTCACAGTCAGTCACAGTTTGTTGTTATCAACAAAGACATATGCCTTTGCATAGTCCATGAAACACAGATAGACACTCCTCTAGTACTCTTTGCTTTCAGAGAAGATCCATCTGTCATTAGCTATAATATCTCTAGCGCCATGGCCTCTTCTAAACCCACTCTGCACTTTAGGCGGTTCTCTGTTGATGTGCTATTCCAGCCATTTTTGGATAATCTTCAGTAGAAGGTGATGCTTGCATGTGATATCAATTATATTGTTCGATAATTTCCACACTGTCGGATCCCCTTTCTTTGTAATGGGAACAAATATAGATCAATTACAGTCAGTAGGCCAGATTTCTTGGCACAACTTGGTGGCACTTTCAGGGCAGCATCTGTTTGTTGAAATATGTCAGTGGGTATGCCATCAATTCCTGAGACCTTGTTTTTTGCCAATTCTTTCAGAGCAGCTTGAACTTCCTCCATCACCACAGGCTCTAGCTCATACACTGTTTCATGAAATTCTCCTGTGTCACCGATTTCTTTTGGTGCAATGACTCTGTGTACTTTTTCCATCTTCTTTTAATGCTTCCTGGATCATTTACTATTCTGCCCATAGTATGCTTAAGTGTTGTAACTCAAGGTTTGAATTTGTTCTTCAGTTTTTTCAGTTTAAGAAATTCTGAGAAAGTTTAGCCCTTTTGATTCTCTGAGTCCAGCTCCTTGCACCTTTCATTGTAATACTTTATTTTGTCTTCTCGTGCTGTCTTCTGGAATCTTCCATTCAAATCCTTAGTATCTTGATTTCTTCCCTTTGCTTTGGCTTCTTGGTGCTCCAGTGCAATATTTAGAGTTTCTTCTGACATCCATCTTAGTCTTTTCTTCCTTCTCTGTCTTTGTAATGACCTTTTTTGCATTCTTCCTGGATGATATTCTTGATATCCTCCCACAGCTCATCCGGTCTTC